TGGCCGCAAAAATGAAGCTATCGTTTTCAAATTTGAGAAAAACATTGGAAATTTTTGCAATCACGCTATTGTCGACAATGAGCCAAATCAGCCGAAGGACACAGCCACAGTACCACGTAAACTGAGTTCACCTTTGTCTTTCAAACGGAATAAAAAATTGGTTTTTTGCTCATTACTCTTACACTATAGTAGATAAATGTGCTAGAATTTCAACGCATATATTATGGGCGATGCAGTAGCATCTTTACAAAAAGGGGAAAAATTGACCACGCCCACCCAATATTATAGTGTGTCAGAAATGAATTTGTTTTTCAGTGCCTTTGAAAGGGGCAGAAACCAGCTTCAAAACCTCACAACTTACATAAATTGTTGACCTGGTCCAAATTTGGAATGAATCTACAAATGCCCGTCTGTTCGCTAGTCACCACGTTTGTTGAAATAAACCTTCTACCGTTAGCGGAAATGAAGATATCGCCTGCAATTTTGCAAAAGTATTTGAAAATGACCTTGAAGTGAAACTTTTCAAAGAACACGCTTACAACGCCCACACGCTTATGCGTTGAAAAGAGCAAAAGTCAGCCGCGCCCACTTTATATTATAGAACATGAAAATTTTGTTCGTTTATTTTTTTTTGTCGTGTCTAGGACAACAGTGGTGGGCATAAAAGAATCAGTTACGACTGAGTATAATTTTCTTGTGTTTTTTTTGTTTTTTACTTGTAAGCTTTTAACCGTAATTTCCGCCATGTAGTGTAGCAGTTCGAAAATTTGAAGCGATGAGAATATTTCAACTTTTTAAGAATAACGACTTGAACGCATTTAAGGGAGAAGAACAAATTATTTACTTCCCAACTAGCGATCGATTGTCATTGTGTTGATTACTGTTATGACAGAAATAATATTTTCTCAGCCCAGAATTAGCAATGAAAAGAAAAATATATTCGTGTATTACTCGCGATCTTCCGAAAACTAAAATCTAGACCAGTGTGCTTTAGAATAAATGGGAAATAAGTTAAAATTAAGATTTTATTATTAGTTGCTGACGCACTGCCCGACATTTTTTACACCCACCCTGTCAGTGCTTCTATCGAACATTTGAATACCAGGCTTTTATTCATCGAGATCGAAAATTATAGACGAAAATTTAAAAAAAATTGTCGATAATTTCCGAGATTGTTTTAGTTCTTTTTCGCAATGTGGTCGTGTATGTGAACAGATCGCCTCAAAATTCATCTTCTTATCTTAATTTTTGGCCACTGTAACGATTGACAGAAAATACCTGACAAATTGGCGGATTTCAGTAAAAGTAAATATAGTACGCCCAGGAATAGCAAAATGGGCGTGCACTACATTAAAAACGAGTATGTAGTGCCTGAAGATATCTACTTCTCTTCACGCAGAATTTTTAAACTTGATATCACAAACCCATTCAATTGAGGATTGCCGGATACCTAGTATTGAACGACGAATTTAACGCTTTTCATACGCCACGTTGGCAAGCGGAATTTAATAAACATTAAACATAATGTAGTATATTATGTAATATATAACATTTATTAATTATTTGTTGTCTGAATATTTTGTTAATAAATTTCCAAGTATGGATTTAGAGTCCGCCGGCTACCTTAGCATCATATTATGCTCGCCTGTATTGGAAAATCTAACGTAGTTGAGATTTGTACCCGCGATCCTTTGCTCATTCGGCTACTTATACCCGGCTATGTATATATATATACATATAAAAGGATGTATTCAAGGCAAGGATCGCGACTAACAACTCAACGATCGAGTGTTCAAATCTCGACTGCGGCTATATATAAATATAAATGTATACGTATTTGTCCGCATGAGAAATGGTGTAGCCAAGGTTTCACGACTAATAAGTCAATCGCCGCGGGTTCAAATCTCAACTACGCCAGAGTTTCCAATAAAGCCGAGTTTAGAAATTTTAATAGAAAAATTTTAATAAAAAAATCTTATCTCAACAATAAGTGAAGTGTTTCCTTCCTTCTAAGGCCTGACTCTTAGAGAAGCTATTTCAACTTTGACCAATTAATTACCACAAATAGCCCAACTTATACTCAAATATATCTCAAGTCTTACGACTACATAGCAAAGCATAGCCGAAGTAGAAAGTTTATCTTCTAGAAGTTCTCTTCTAGTAGAAAGATCTTCTTCTTCTTGGTAGATTGGGAATATAAAGAAAATAACATTAGAAAAGACAACGAACTGCGCATATGAATGAAACATTTTGAGTGAAGCCTATAGGTAAACTTTAAAATCACGTGCACACGGAATATATTCACTTCTGATTGAGACCTGATTGGAACCTTCGCATTGCTTGTGTAATACAATATGTGCATTGCTAGCTATACAGCGTTCACAAATTGCTAAAACTTATGTCGAAAATAATGAAACAACGGGATGAACATTATATTTGGTTAAATGGACTATTGCCCCCTTGGTGTAAAGGAAACACATCTGGTGTTCCGAAAAGAGACGTGTGCGAAAAAATGTCAACTATTGGGTGAGGCTTGTGGTCTGAAGATGGCATTGCACCTAGTAAAGAACGCTATAGAAATATGATTACTTACTTTTAGTGGCACAAAGTCGATGATTTCTGCTTGGCCGATAACTGACTTTAGCAAAATGGCGCAACCTGGTATACATTTCGTGATAAAATCGATTTAATGGGAGAAAAGTTCAATGAAATGCTCATCCCAAATGCTTTCTCTAGTGGATTTTTTCACTTTGAAACAACGTTGGCACATGAACTCTCAATAACCTTAGTCATCAAGATTACTCGTTTCATTGGCGAAATGAGTGCAGATTTATATGGAAAAGTCACAAAAGTTGGTACTCCAGGACTCAATTTTTTTACAAAAGTCCAAAGACGAGAAGTCATGAGCCAATATATAAAATGTAAGAAAGGTCGTATCAATATCATTTACAGATATCGTTTATCAATTTTATTGCAAATTCAAAAAAAAAAAAAAAAATTAAAAAGAATCATTATTACCCGTAGCTACCTGCTGCTTTAAGTTGGAGTTCAAAAAGGAGGCAGTAGCCAAAAACCGCCATTTGAAGAAAGTTGAGAAAATTTTCGGAAATTTTTACCAATAGCTTCCGGCTCTAATCAAATAAATTCACTTAGCGAATATAATCTTCTCATAGTTGTTTCATTTCAAACGAATATATTCGGTCAATAATCAAATTGTAAAGACTTATCAAGAGCAAATATATCTAATACCGCATATACTATGACTTCTTTTATGCTGCTCACCAAAATTCGAAACTTTCCTAATTTAAGTATAAGAATAGGCTGACTGTCTTTATTTTGAAATTAAATTTTATTAAATTAATTCGTCCAGAGATATTCACAAGGGATCTAATAGGATACGTATATACTTAAATAGGGTAGAATTTAAAATCGATCTAACACAATCTTTCCGCCTACTACATACCTGCTCTTCAAGCGCGAAACTTCGATCGAAACTTCGCTCGAAACTTCGCACATATTCTTTTATGTTGTTGATGACTAGGAGGACCTTTCCTTTTTCTACATATGAATAACTGGCTTTTAATAATAAGAAGTAGATTTTTATCTATTTATTTACTTTTTTTTGCCGATTCTATTAATGTTAATCTTAAGCCAATTATTTAAAAATAAGACCATATTAAACTTCAGGCGTAAAAGTGCTTGAAGTGCACTTACTATGATCGTATGTTTGTGGCCCGCTTTTTAAGCTCTCATCAGTTCAGAAATTCGCTAGATAATAAACGGATTGCTAGCTTAAAACTAGAGTTAGTCTACAGTGTTTGTTAAACATAAAAAGCTGAGCCTGCAGTGCAATGATGGGTGACAAAAATTCGCTCTTAGGCGACTGCACTCTTTTACTTAGTTTATCTAATCAATACAAGGAACTTATCTGTTAGGATAAGCAAATGGTGTTGATAGCCAATTTCGAAAATAATGGTGTTTGGTGGAGAAAGAATAATAAGCATAAAGATCGGAACAGTCCTCTAACTTTACGTACCTCTTTATGCTAAGACTACACTTAAATCCTTTTGCCAACCTAAGACGGACATTTGAAACTAATCTTATTGCTGTTCTTGGTTTAGTAAAGAGACACTGCGGTTAGAGTGCATTTTTTCATCTATTTTCCTTAAAACTATTTGGAAAAAGAAAAAAAGGCGGAGAACCCTGTCAAGCTGTAAAGAAAAACCGAGTTGAGCTACAAGGATTTGAACTGGCCTCGTGTTGCATACTAAATTTAGCGCTGGCTTCCTTTTTCGTTACTTTCAAATAAACCGTATCGCTGTACTTACTACTTGATAGGCGATTTATCGAAACTATTCTCATCAAGGTGAATAAAAATAATCTGCAACATGTGTATCATTTAAAAAGCACCATGTATCGTGTCAAACCAAGCAATTCCGTTTCAACTAAGAGGAGCGGCTTTGGTACCACTGTTGATAGCCATGTAGCACTGAAAGCTAGCATCAATCAGTTCTCGTGATGCAAAGGCGATATCCTTAAGCCCTTGTGCACCAGCGCATGTCAAATAGAATTTACGGATGAACGTTTGCAAGTCTTTTCTGCCAGATTGTATTTATATCACATATTGCCCTTAAGCCAATAAACTGCTTATTAATTTATTAATGAGCTCCCAAAAGCAACCATGTGCTTTTACTTAGTATATTAATGAATTTTAAAGAACTCAACTTCTAGGATAAGGAGATAGTGTTGAACAAGATGAGAATAGAATGGGACAAATCAAAACTAAATTGCTGAGCAAACATGATTTTCGTGGTGTTCCACGAAAATTTTGAAATAGTTGATCGGAAAGACAATTGTCGCTATTTTGCTTAACTGAATTTACGCAATTTAAAAATATTAACTAAATTTAAAAAAAAAACATGAAAAAACTTCTTAGTTACAATATGATAATTATGTGAAATTTTATTTTCTTTTATAGTTAAGCGAAATAAATGGCTTACCTTGAATGTTCCTTCGATATTATTATTGCCGCCGGATGATTCTAAATTCAAAGCATAATCCTCAACACTGCTTAATGGTTCAGCAAAGTTTTGTTCAACTTTTATTGTTGGACTTAAAATAGTTAACTGAGAGGCTCCAATATTCGTAGCTGACAATTGATTAATGCCGGCATAAGAACTTTCCACTAAAATTGGTGTAGCGCTGGGTCCGTTCGGTGTTAAACAGCCAGCACCACCAGTTGAAACGTTCAAAGATGAGTTATCGTGATACGAACCACTTAACACAAATGACGGATACGAACGTAATTGTGTATGATGATGATGATGATAGTCAGCGTGATGGGTATGATGAGCCAATTGTGGTCCTTTATACCAAGTGGTGGTACCATGCATAATCATTTAAACGCGAAAAAGTTTAAGAAAAGCGAAGAATTTAGATTTTATGTTAGAGAACAAAACAGAACAACGAATCAAAAAAAAAAAAAAAAAACACTTCTTTGCAACACTTTTTTAAAATAATTTTTAATTTTTTTTTTTTTTTTAATATTGACTTTAGCACGAACTTAATGAAATTTTTTTTTTTTTTTTTGCAAAATCTTGTTTATTATTTACACTTACATGCGCATATGTTTTTTCATTTCGTTTAGCATTTTTTTGTTTTTTTTTTTATTGTATACACTTTTCTTTTTTTTTTATTGTTTTTTCGCTTGTTTTCAACACAAGCTTTATAAAAATCTTGTAATTACGTGTCGCGCTCGTTTTCGGAAACACATGCAACACTCATTATTAACCATTCAACTGTAACAACAACAATAACGTTATCGAAGCCAATATTTTCCGACAAAAACCAAAAAAAAAAAAGCGCAAAACTCGTAAGAATTTTTACAATTTACACAAAAAGTAATAAAAAAGAAAAATAAAAAAAATAAAAAACTACAAAACAAAAACATCCCATAAAAATTGGCCTCCGTTTTACTAACGTTCGTGTATGTGTGTAGGTATGTTAGAGTTCGCCGCGTCCATACGCGTTACACATTAATTATTTTATACCAAAGCTTGCATACATATGTACGCATAAAAAAAAAAACAATAATAAAAATAAACACACATACATGCACGCGCGCGCAAACGTATATGTTATATACGTAGTTATTGCGAGATCGATCGATCGATCCTCTTCACTAAAATGCATCAACAAGACGATAAAAACTTTACTACGGGCTTGCGGGTGCAAAATACAGTCACATTGTCGCTTGAAACACTTGAAATATCGCGCGCGCCTTTTGCTTTTTCTTTTATTTTTATTGTAGTTATTTATTTATTTATTTTATTTTTATTTTTTTTTTTTCGGGCTTTTTTCCTGCAAAACACATTTAAAAACGTACGTATCGCTGGCTGGTCAAGTGGTAGCAAAATATCGCATTTGTAGGTTTCGTTTCTTTCGTTCAGTGGTAATAATATTTGATGGACCTTTTGTTGTGTTGTGTTGTTAGGGAAACAACAACAGAGCAACAGAGTTTTGGAACAGCAATAGCAAGCAATACAGAAGAAGAAACACACAAAAAATGTTGCTGCCAACTCGAAAGAATTCCGAACTCGAATGCTGAGCATGAAACGAAAAAACTACTAAAATGCCTCGATGGCCTGGCCTCGCTTGGCTTGGCTGACTGCCTTGACTTTTTTTTTTTTCTTTTTTTTTTTTGTTGTTTCTTTTTTTGTCTTTATGTTGTTATCTGCAACTCTTTTGCACACACATACACACACACAAACACACACGTGCATGCTTCAACAAAAAGAGCTATAGTTAAAGGTTGGTGTGTACGTGTGTGCCTATGTCCATGTGTAGAAGTATTTATGTGCGTCTCCAAAGCCGCCTCTTTGCTACCGTTGCTACTACTTGTGTTATTCGGAAAATAATTATTATTATTATTATTGTTATTGTTGTAATAGCAGTAGTAGTAGTAGTAGTAGTTGTAGTAGTAGTAGTAGTAGTACTATGCATTAAGACTTGGTTGGACCATAATCACTATCACCATCACATGCTGTGAGTAAGAAAACTCTGCTCAGTTAGTTGTGAAACAGCGAGTCGTGAAAAAGAGTTACCGTCGTCGTTCGTTACCGTTTTCATTTGTTGTTATTTGGGTGCTTTAGTCTCTTCACGAATAACTTTGTGCCTGTGAGCGCAATTGTTTGTGTTTATGTGTTTATGTGTTTATGTGTGCGTGGAGCCATAAGTTTAACTATGGCTTTGGTTTTTGTTAAGATTTTCTCAATTTTTTGTTTTTCCCTCTTCTTTTTTTAGCGACACAAGTTACTCGTGTTTTATTGTAAACTCAACAACAAAGTTTTTTTGTTTTGTTGTTTTGCCGTTGTTGTTGTTGTTATGCTAGTCTGAGTGCTACTGGTTTATATATATAAATGATTTCTTTCTTTGCTATTTTTATGTGTACGTGTGTGTGTGTGTATGCGTGCTGTTGGCTCCCCAAAACTCATGCTCCGAACATACAGTAGTCATGCGCATGCTCACAAACTCTTAGTTATTTATTTATTTATTTATTATTTTTTTTTTTTTAGTTCTTACTACGAGCGTTAACATATTTAGAAAAACTAATATAAAGAGTAAGAAAAAATATTATTAAGAGTAAAAATTATACTAAAAGTCTGAGTGCAATGCGCTGTGAACACAAAAAAAAAGAAAAAAAAAACAAAAAAAAAATTATTTACGTGGAAAACATTCGTTCATTTATTAAAATCTTTGCTTTGCTTTGCTGGGCATTAAAGAGCAACAGATTTGCTTAAGTTTTTTTTTGTTTTTTCATTTTTGACCCGCACTCTTGCTCGTATTATACGCAAAAAGTGGGTTTGTTCTTGTGTTGTATTTAATATTTAATATCTTTTTTGTTGTTTATAGAGTTGGAAAAAACAGCTCAAGAGCGTAATTTTTTTGCGTTTTTTTTTTTTTGTTTTTTTTTTGTCTTTTCCTCCAAGAAGGTCAATTAGATGATTGTTTTTAAGTAAATATCTGAAAATATTACAGAAATTAGCTAAAATTCATGAAAGAGCGTAAAAAGGAATGCTAAGTAAAGAATCTATGTTTATTTTAAGGTGAAGCTTAATTATTACATATTTTGAATAAATACAAGGAAGTGAACAAAGTTTTTTTTAAGATTGGGAAATCAGCTGAAACTGCTGAAAGACACCGCTTTTTTAACAAACCTTTAAGTAAAATGATTTTCTAAAGTCACGATAATGGGCCTCGTTTAAATTTCTATATACATACATATATGTATATATATATTTTTTCTCGATATTGTAGATTCAGCACATTTTAGAACTGAAGATTACTAATGAACAGAGAAGCGTACGGGTAGACTGGAAAACACAACTACGGAAAGACGGACAAAGGTAGGACGTGGTTCAGATAACAACTGACAGACGTACAAAGATTTTATTACAAGGAGAAATTAATAGGCAAACATAGCTATGAATAGTTGGAGGAACTTACAGCTGCTTGTATAGAAGAAGGAATGTTTGGCATAATCAAGAGAACGAGCAAGTTAAGCAATCGGCTAACGGCCGCAGAAACATGTAACGTCAACGACATATCACTACAGGCAAGCGTTAACGGGCAACGAAACACCAAATCGAGTGAGTAAAGAAGCAGAACGTTATACGGACAGGCAGGGACAAGGACATATCAGCAGAGGCACGGGATAGCCGGCAATAGAACGCACAGTCAGGTGAGTAAAGAAACTGATCGTTTTACGGAAGGCCCGATTAAAATGACGCATTGTGCTAAGGGCAGACAAGCAGATGGATAGAAGAATGAAGAAAAAGAAAAATGGGTAAACGGAGGTAAGAGCAATTAATAATATAATCTGGTGAACGGCAAGGCAAAGAAACGAGCGAATCAGGCAATATACGGTAGGATGAACGCACAAACGAATGAACGGGAGAAAAAATGAATCGTCGAGAGCGAAGTGAAATGACCAACTTTAGATATAGGCAGACGGAGAGACGTAAAGAATACTGAAGGAAATGGACAGACAAAGATAAGGATGGATGGAAAAATGGATGGATAGAAGGACGAAAGAAAAAAACCAAAAGACGGATGAATGGTTGGATAGAAGAATGAAAGAAAAAGGAAAATGGAGCCACGGGGGGACGGGGGGGGGACGGGGGGGAGGGAATTGAGTGACAGCTTAAACGACAGAATCAAACGAGGTCTAAATGAGGTGAGGGAAGAGGGGAATTGGGGTGGTGGATTGTGGCATATATGGAACGATGAAAAAATGGAATGATGGAAGCGTGGAACAACGGAAGAGTTAATCAACGGGGTAATGTAATAGCGCGGGATTTGAAAGAAAGGGAGTAAAGATGGAGAAAAAGTCAGATAAAGGGACGATCCAAGGAAAGCAAGCAGAGACAAACGCTTAACAAGAATGAAGAAGGAACAGCAAAAGGGATGGGCGAAAGAAAAAGTGGCCACAGTTGTGCCGATCGGATTGAAAATTATTAAATCCCTTTTGCCATTAGTGCTGATCAGAATTGCGTATAAGTAATAAATGGGGACAGGAAATGCGAATTAATTTAGCAAAAGTGTAATATGACCATCTAAGAAGAAGGTAAGAAGGAAGATAAGAAACGAAGAATAAGAACATAATTGTAAGGGCCCCTATACTATATATATAACACTAACTTATATATGCGTAATTTAAGAATTTCCGCTTGTAACGAACAAGAAGAAGAATAAATCAAGTTGTTTTTTAAAATGCCTTGATCCAAAATCGAACTTACTATTCTACTATTACTATTCAGATGGGTGGACGCACCCATAAAGACATTAATAAGTTAGGTTGCATTGCGTTGCATCGATAGAGAGAAGAAAACCTTGACTAGACAAAAATATAGTTCGCTTATTGTTGAACTGCTTCAGTTAGTTAATAATTCAGTAGGAACAAATGAGCTGTGTGTGTGTGTACTAAAGAATCATAAGATCACTGTTTTTCCGTCGGCAAAGTCACAGCCGACGTTTTCGGCAAAAAAATCTGAAAACTCTTCAAAATTATATTTTATTGCTCTTTCCGACTTGTCACATAAGCTCCAATTTCTTATTTTTTTTTTCTTTCTCTATCTCTCTTCTTCACTCTTTCAAGTAAAAATCT